AATTCCATGAACTATGCTGTGATTGGAACTCAGGCCAGCTAGCGTGTCAAATACCAGTCGGACACTATACTACTCGGCCACCGGTGCCCTCCAATTATTTTTACCATCTTCTGAAATTCTCCACACGAAAAATGGTAATATTAAAATAATATTCAGGTAATTTCTCTCTCATTATATATCGTATTGTATTCATTCTTTAAGTGATTAGATCCTTTACAAACTTAAAAACTAGATATTAAATGAATTTGCCTTTTCAGACTGTAACACACAGTTAGTTAATTGGGAGTCCCATTTATGAACAATTGTTGAGAAAGAAAAAAAAACAACTACGATTAATAAAGTGAGAGGAAGTTTTTCAAGTTGTATTTAATAACTCTTCGTCTTTTTTCTTACAATCTTCCGTCGGCTAACGACTGTCTTCCGGGTTGCGTGTTAGGCAATAACGAGTATCACTGTAAATTGCCTTAAGTAATTCAGGAACTGGGCTCGACAGGGGATGTGGTAATAGAAAATTGTTCCACTTCGTAACAATTCACGTTTTCCAGGACCGGGGCGATCTTGATTAAGGAGTGTTTTCATCCTTTATTTTGCGTCAAGGACGCGCCTTTTATAATTTCCGGCCTGGAAAGGTATTGTGTCGCATCGGAACCAATGGGCAAAAGATGTCAAATGCTAAAGATAACAATTGAAAATAGCCCTGTAAGGAAATGTCCCAGTTAGACTTCCGGTCAGATTGAACGCAGTACGATTAAATAAATATTTTACAAACATCAATTCAGTCAGAGATTTATTTTTAATTTCTTTGATATTAACTTTAAAAAACTATTGTGCTAAAATCTGAACTTTTTTCACTCTTTCATTTCACGATGAGCAAAATCAACATTCTGCCCGCGGAGGGTGACGCTCAGCATTTATAGTTCCCGAGTTTGATCCGCAGCGGCCGTGAACTCGTATCAAAAACTTACTACCACTTTAGCGAAAAGCCCCGGGTGTTTATACATCTTCTGTTGGAAACCGTACAAAGGATTAGGCAGTAAAGCCTGGATAGGATACTCTTTAACAGGAGGCTGGGATATCAAACCCTGTTAAATGTTTGAGCGATACAACTCTGTTTCTTCATAAAAGAAGATAACTTTTTTATTCTTGGGATTCGATGATGGGGTCACGGCGTTTTTATCGTCAATCCTATGGGGTTTTAATCATTTTAAGAAAGAGACTGATAATGTTGTAGCGCGAAGTTAAGAAGACAGATTTTTAAGGGTTGTTTGGTTTATGTAGAACAATTAAAATGAAAAATTGCTAAAGGGAATACCCCTCCCAGGACACGACGGCATTTAACACTAAATATAAGAAAAACTAGGGCATTTGATAGATGGAGAGCGATAAATTTAATACGTAATTAATTAAATCCGGGATTTCATTGGGTTGAAAAGGCTGGAGAAAAAGGCAAAGGAATATTCATGTTCTGTCTACCTTCAGCCATGTATTGAGTTTTGTGCATCACTCTGTTGTTATGCAATGTGAATATGATAGTATGAGTTATGCCAAGAGACAGAATTTTTCATCGTCGGACATGGCCCAAGAACCATCATCACGAAGAAGATGGGATAATATGAGTAGTGGTCGCTCATACAATGGGTCATCGAATGGTCATGATCTGAGTCGATTGTGGGTTTGACTGATGTGTTACCTTGATCCAACTGTACACTTTTTCTCTGCAATTAATTTAGTACTTGTATAAGAAAATTGTAGATACTGATGGGAATTTTTGTCGGATGGGTCATGAAATCGTCGTGATCTGAGTTGGCTGATTTGGTACTTTCATCCAACTGTACCTGTTTCTCTGCAATTAATGCCAGTATTTGTATTAGAAAATTGTGCTGGTGTATTTGTGTCGAGTTTGTTTCTTTGCGTTCCCGATAGTATTTTTACAAAGGCATTCAATATTTTTACTGTTCTACATGTTCAGGTTTCTTCTGCGGTGCATTTGAACTGAAATGACTCAAGTCATGTCTGAAACGATTATCAGTTGATGGAGGGCCGAGTGATTAGAGTGTCCGACTCGTATTCCTAGTGGTCCTGGTTTGAATCCCTGCTGAGCCGATGGCTTTTTATTTGATGATATTGTATAAAATGTGTTGTAAATTGGTATCACCCCATCGTTTGCGAACCCAACGTGTTGTTGGACATAAAGTGAACTAGTTTGTTGCTGCTCTACTAACAGTCCTACATTGCTTTACCATACGCAATAAATTGACGTAATTATTAGAAAAGAATAGAAAATCATGAAGGAATGGAAATATAAACTGTGGTAATTTGTCAGCGGAAGGATCAATATTTAAGGAAAATGAATGTTGCATCAAGGATAACGATGAGTTCAGAAGTAATAAGATGATGGTTTACAGAATGAATTGCTGATATTTTGCATGTGCCTCCAGAGTCTGCATCGTTTAGTTGTTTTGTCCTATATGGTCAGTGATATAATCTAATGGTCTACTAGTGCATGTTAATCATTAAAATCCTAATTTCATAGTTAATGATAAAATATGAAAAGTGTGAAATTAGACATACCTTGGATGGAGCAGTTTTCTGATAAAAAATAATTTTAACTAAACCGTTTGATACCCAAAGGACATATTTTCCAAAAGTACCGCACTATCCGAGGTTATAAAATTAATAGCACCGTTACCCAGTTAATGTACGCTCATCGAGAAGAACAGCCAGATTAAGCAACTGGCTATAATTTATTGTGGAATAAAACAGAACAAAAGCATAACCTGTCTTAAAGAGAATAATCTAGTTCGTCGTTATTTTTTACAGATTCTGTTGTCATTTTAAACGTTTTATTTCCACAATTGTTTATTTCACTTTTCTGGCTTTTCACAGCCTAAGATGTTTCCGTACACACTTTTTGTAATCCTTTATAAATGTTTCTTCAAAGCTAATAATTAATAATTAACAAGAAATGCTATCATAAAACTATCTTCTGACATAATTTTATTTTGTACTACCTGTAGTGCATTATGAATCAGAAAACCAAATATTTCTCCTTCAATACTTTTTCACTACATTTGGAAAATCCGGTAAATAATAAATAGATTTGTTGATATTCTTGATCAATACATTCTTCTTCAATTTTATGGTTAAAAAGAACATATTTTCTATGTGTTAATACTTGATGTTTATTCATTTTGGTTTTATTATTTAGCAATTCATTAAAATTATTATATAATAAATTTTGAATATTACGTAGAGGGATGCGACGATTTCGCCAAATTTTGAAATTGGATTTTCCCTATGGCGGTGTTATTATCCATTTTTTGGGAATCGTCTTGCCCTGAGAATGAGTTTGAGGCGTGATAATGGCCGGAGGGGGTGTGGAAGAAAGAGGGCATGTATAGGGCCAACAAACTCCTCAGCCGATGTAGTGAGGCGTTTTCGATATATATTCCAATCAGAGGTCCAGCTAATAAGTGGTAACAACTGTCCATCAAGAAGACACTTTGCGGCCATCTTGCAATGGCAAACCTGGGATGCCGGAAATTCAAGTCTACACGAGGTGCCTTTTGAGCGATGCATTTGCAACCTTGATTTTTGTCAAAGACAGTAATTTCAAAATTATAATTTTTCGCCGAAGTTAAAAACTTTTGTTTTAAATAATAAATACATTTTTTGCTTTTACTTAAAGGAGTACATTTTTAATTTTTAATTTTGTTTTCTAATTTCGTTATTACGTTTTATTTTATGATACATTCCATTTTCTTTTAGTTTGATTTCATAAACCATTGTTTTAACAAGCCTAGATAGTTGGGCGCATATGTGAAGGCAGTTTTTAGTGGATAGTTTTCTCTATATATTTCAAAAAGAAAAATCAATGTATAATGGAAACTGACCATCACAGGGAGTAATGTAGCTTTATACATAATCATTTACAGAATTTTTTACTCAAATTCCAAAGATAATTGTAATACTACAATCAGTAATCTTACAAAACAGATAACGCTTTTTAACATATACACTTCAACATTTTTTTCATAATTTATATTTCTATTTGCTTTACATTCAATTTATTATACACGATTTTTGAAATTTAGCATTTGGTAGATCATCGGAGTTATTAGGGAAAATTATGTTAGAATTGAAATGGAAAGTTTCTGTTATTGTAAGGTATTTATTGATATAAGTAAAGTACATATAATGTATCGATACCAGGTATTTTTGTTATCGACATTTTAATAGCGATCGAGTAGATATTACAAGTATCGTTTCAAATTTCAACAATGTTTTTAGCTGCAGTAATCGATCGATAAGTACACGTACATAATTAACTAGTAGGCAGTAGGTATGGGTAATCAATGTCAGCCACTGGATCATTTTTGGCATTGAAAAATTGGACTAGTTTTTTCAAAAATTTAAGTTGGTAGAAACGGTGAAAACTGGTTGATTTTATTCAGAAGAGTTGATGATGGGTGTTGTTCTGCGAGTCGTTGAATTCATACTGAACCGGCATACGGGTCACTTTTTGGGTCCGTCTTGACTCACTGCTTTGTCGGATTACTGAAACGCGTTTCGGCATTGCGCCATCTTCAGTGACGAGTAAATCACTTGAAAGACATTTCCTACACGAAGTAAAGTCAGTTTAAGTTTCACCATATTTTTATTATTGTTAGTTTATTTTTAAATTTGAGCATTTTTACAATGCTTCGCCCTATCACGAAAGTTTAAAAAAAGATTTAAAGATAGCTTAGCTACTGTGAAATGCATTTTAAAGAAGTGAATTGTTGTTTTAACAAATGATGAATCAACTTATACGATCCAGCTATGGTATACATACTCTATTTTTCACTTTCAAACATGTATCACCATCAAAATATGAATATGTTATAATACCTTATTGTCTTTTCAATTTTAAAAATATTTGTCGTACAATAACTAGTTCATTCATTGTAATTTTTTAAATTATTAAAAATTATTAATTTGATTTTTTTCGTGTGTTTCAGGTCAAGGACGTGAATCGATAAAGCTGTACTGCTTTCATTCAAGCTCCAAGAACTGTTTGTTGTAAATATAACGCCAGAAGTATAACAAAATATTTCGAACTGTACATAAATAATTAGCAACAATTATTTTTATGCATTATTTCATATAAATAATAGAAAGTTGGAATGAAATTATAGTAAGATTTTATAATGCTCTGAAGACTGATTTGAAAATTTTTCTCTTAGGAAATGTAATTTATTGTGAAATTCGAAGGAGGAGATAAAGTAGTTTCTAATTGTTGACATATAATAAAATGAAGAGATTGTGAAACCCGATGGTTATACATTGTTACGAAATACCATAATTATGCTATTCCATAGGGGCAAGGCAACTCTATCCGACAATTGATATCATTAATGACGAACAGGTATAACCAATTTATATGTCGTCAGATCGGAAAATCTATGTGTAATGTCCATCTTTCGAGATTCGTATTTCCTATTTATGTAAACGATTCTCGATTGTATTAGCGTTATATGCGAAATTTTGATGTCCTGTCATGGTTCGTCAGTACGATCGACCAGCAATCTGGCAGAGTTCGACGGCAAACGAAGTTCAGTTTTGCAGAGCAAGTGTTTTTTTTCAGATCATCACTGTGACGTGCTCTCTCTCGCGATTTCTATTTCCGCCTACAGGATTTCATTCCGATCAATGGATAATGGCCGGATCAAGATGAGTTTTCGATTTTGGCCCTGCCGTAATCGAACATATGCTAATATTGATAAATCTATTTAGGATTACCTGACCCTACGATCCTTTAGTAATAAGGAAATTTATAAAAGAAAAGACCAATTATGGAATTTATAAATTCATATTTTACTAGCATAAAAGCCAACGGGGGAAATATATAAAAAAAGTTGTTGTTCTTATTTAAAAATTGACTATGTTACATGTGATTTGAGTTTTAATATAATAAATAAATATGCATGTAATAATTGTTAATAATAATAATAATATGTGTATATTATAATATATTTACTTATGCATATTCCTGTATAAAATTGAAAGAAAACTAAATAAAAGGGTTGGTTTAATAAAATTGTTTTTGTTTTATTTACATTCTTCCTACTTCAGGTGCGTCGATGTAGGTTTGTCGGAAAAAGGTAAAAAAACCTCTTTAGCCGAACAAACGTGGGTTGTTTGAACGTTCCGAAGAAGAAAAGTAAATAATCCTTAACCGTCGGCATTACGCTTCCCGAGTCACGGTTTTATGCGCCAATCCCTACGCTGTCACATAAGATTTATGCATTTTTACCCCCTTCATAAAATCCAAGGGGGCGTCTTCGGTTTTATTACATTTTGAAAATGGCCTGGAATCGCGCCAACGATCTGTTAGTTTTGATTTCATAGAAATAAAATTTTTCCTAGTAATTCCGTTTTATTGCTACATTCTTGACACTCGTAAACCTTGTTCCTATTTCTTAATATACCTTAAGTTTTTCTATGCACTCATAAAACGTTTAATACAAGGCCTGCGACACACAGACCATAAACAAAGATTGCTTCGGTGCCTAGGATAGGATTGGGTTGTGAAAAGAGGATTGCGGTGAGGTCCGTTGTGTGTTGGATTGGGTTGTGTTTGGATGTGTAGGTAATCAGCAGTGTAGATGATACAGAGGATTGGACTAAGGAAACTTCCTTGTGGAACGCAAGCTTTAATTTGCATGATGGGTGAGAAATCGGCTACGACCATTCATTCGAGAGGAAGGACTTCAAGAAGAGATAGTAAATGTGAGGGACTGCACATTGCAATTTTTAAACGAAGCTGGATTGCCACATCGAATGCTTCAGTATAGATAAATTAACTTACAAAAATGACTTATACATATAAATAAATAAACATATATATATATATATATATATATATATATATATATATGGATATAAAGGATCTAAAGGGCTAAAATATCGACAGTGCATTCCTATAATCACATGGATTATTTACACGCTAAAAAAGGATTTTTTGAAATTCCATACCTATCTTCTGTATAAAAACAGTTCCGTGACTTATTCACAAAAAACGCACAGACCAAACCCCTGGTTCTACTGGGCTGAAATTTCGACTGTGCATTCCTATAATGATATGGATAGCCTCTAAGAAAGGATTTGTTGAAATTCCATCCCTATCTTCTGTATAAAAACAGTTCCGTGGCTTATTGACAGAAAACGCACAGCCCAAACCCCTGGTTCTAAAGAGCTATTTCTCTAAGAAGGATTATTTGAAATTACATCCCTAAAGGGTTCGGATACACAATTTTTTGCCATATAATAATATGGAGACCGAAGTGAACTGAACAAGAAAAGAATTTGAGAAACGAGGTATATTAGAAAGCCATACTAGCCTCTGCGTCGCGTGGACGAAGTCAAGGGTAAAAGCCTGTATATATATTTTATGCGGTAAACAGAAACGATAAATTCACTCTATTTCACAGATGTCTGAAATTGTATGTACTAGTGTTTAACCAGTTCATATAGGCTGCAGAAACATCAAGCAGAAAGCAATGCTGGTTTTAATTTTAATCTTTATTTTAGCACAAAATTTCTTAACAATGCAATTAATTTTCCTTTTCATCATCGCCTTCCACCTGCCTGTTGTCTAAAGCTGTAGGGGAAACTTACCCCATTTGTCAAGGGTTATAGGTACAAAAAGTAATTTCCTCTTGACAATAAGATTTGCTTGTGCGCAGGACCCACGTGCTGAGTACTCTGGGATCGTGTCCCCCCTGACTCAACGTAACGTTTTCATTTCCTGTTATCCCGAATGTTAATCCGAGTCGGCTTTTGATGTGCCTCAGGACGCTTTTAGCATTTCAGTCTTCTTTGAGCGACTTGATGACTTAAGCAAATTACGGTGGATTGATTCCCTTTTCCTCAACACCCACCCATACTTCCACTAGGTGGAAGTATCTCCAGTAAAAACAAAAAATGTGAAGTTTTTAAAGATTGGACAGCTGTACTATTCCAGAAGAACATCTATCAAAAAGACGAAAAAGCAGAATGTATTTGGTCAAAGAGTAATTGCCAGGTAAAATAATACATATGTCTTTTTTAATAAATCTTTCTAATATAACGTCGCATATCGTCTTCATACCCGTAAAAACACTAATTGAATTTTTAATATTCTTGTATTTGAAACAAAAATCTTCTAACAGTCCCAAATTTACTAGTGTTGGACGAAATTTATAAATAATTAAAATATATTACTATGATTATACTTTAAATATTAGGATTTGGTGAAACAAAAATGCAATGTTTTCCACGAAGCCGTTAATCGTAAATTGAAATTCTAGAAATTCAGTTTAATTTACACAGATTCAATTAATAAAAGGTAAAGTACTGCACCTTCCATCGCATCCTAATAGTACATCTAATACATATTACTGACGTAAAAAAGGTTTCCAATGTAAATTAATTCACTCTGAACTCCTAGTACTTTTACAGCCGAAAGAATTAAATTTGGAAATTTAATCAATCAAAACGTCATAATCAGACTAATCGATTCTCGTTCAACATAGTTCTAATATAGTCAAATACACATGAATAGGTCTATGTGAAATATTCCTAACATTGGATTATTATTAAAAAAATGTTTTTGTTTTTTTGTTAAAATGGACTATATTCTAGTTATATATTGATATAGTTAATATGAGCCTTCAGTATTATAATTTTGTGTTTGAAAATCCAGGTTAAAATTAATAGGCTAATGAATAAAAGAAAATCGGGACGTTAACCCTATTTTTATAGTGCAAAAGTTGCATATATCAATTTTTTATGTGTCATAAATTACAGATTAAGCTGAAATTTACACTTAGTACATGTAACATTGTGTTGACATCAAATTCACATTTTTCATGCGATAAAGTAATACCAGAACAAAACATAGAATTAATTTTATATGTTCATGAAGGTAAGTTGAGTGTAAAAAACACGAAATAGTCATTGTACATGAATGGGCGGCCTAGGTGCACAGCAGCTTACACAGATACTTCAGCTTACACTGTTCTAATACTTCATGACCGTAAATATTTTTGAGCTTTATCTTGTTTGTTTTGTTTGTCCATTTATCGGAACGAATGTATTTACTAGGGAGAATGAAGAGGCCAGATTTTTCGATCCCAGAGGATTTTAAGTAATCTGGAGTTGCCTGTATTTGTTGACTTGCATGAAAAGGGGAATGAGAAACTTTTATTATTTGTAACAACTGAGTGAATGGTATTTATTGATGATCAACTAGAGATCCCGAGGAATATCGTGCACTCTGGAGCAGTGTGAACGTAATTTATTAGCGTGAATCCTTTGGTTTCTTTCCAATTAAGCTCGAGCAATTTCGGGTACTCTGGGGCAGTGTGAATAATTTATTAGCGGGAATGCTGTGGCCCTTTGCAAATTAGCCGAAGGAAAATCGAGTACTCTGCAATATACGTAACCTGACTAAATTGTTTCGAAACGTATATATTTTTGAATTTGTACATTTTTATCCTCGACTAACAATGCTTGCAGTTGGCAATCTGATAGAGGTACGAGAAAGTCTATTAATTCACATCCTAAGCCTACTAAGCGAAAAAAATTAATTATAAGAAAGAATCGGATTGTATGAAATGCGAGAACAAAAAGAAAAGAAAAGATCAGACAATGACCATTAAAGTTTGAATATTCGATTATATATTATAATTGTTTTGAATTTAAAAAATACTGTATGTTCCTTTCGGAGATCAAGGCGATAATAATGTTGATAATAATTTACACACACACAAGTAATCCTCTTTCGGATTTTAAAAAGTATTCTTTNTGCTTACTTTCAGAATTACTTTGCCATGAAAGAAAGACCAATATAGAGAGAGAGAGAGAGAGAGAGAGAGAGAGAGAATAAGGGAAAAAGGTAGAGAAAGAAAGAGAAAGAGAGTGGGTGAGAGAGATAGGCAGAGACAGAGAGAGAACAAATTGAGGAATTAGAAAGTTGAAAGGGGGGAAATGTTTCTTAGCTTATTTTATTAATTGCATTTCCTGAGCAAAATGCAACGTCATCATTGCATGCTTTCATCCTAAATTTATTTTGTAAGTACGGCTTAATTACCCTAGCATCCCATTACGCCTTGAAGACGACCTTACAAGAGTCAGTTACTTATTTTTTCAAACGGTTCCAGACCGTTTAGTTTGTACGGCGACCTTCCCAAAACTTCAGTTCCTTAAAAAACACACCTTGGGATATTTTATGCTACGAAATATGTTTTTATTTTTTTACAATTAATTCCTTGTAATTTAATGCAGGTAATTTTCTATGATTTTTTAAACATTTTTAACAAATTATTGTAATATCTAGTGTGTCATTTGTTTGACATAAGTATAAAGTAATGCTTTTTAAACGTTCAGAGCCACAATTTATTTAATAATGCTATTAATTTATGTAATGACTTATCCAATCTTGAGCGACTTTCTACCACAAATGCATTCGTATCATGTTATTTAGTGTTGAACTTATTGATATTATTTTCATCATTTAACAAACTCTCTAAATACACTGGTTTGGTCGAGAAATGGTATTGCTTGTCACATTTTGTTTTGTGGTCCGCAGCGTGATAAACCTGCAATTTGATTGTTAAGGATTATTATAATCTGCCTTCATTGCGTCATTTTAAGTGTGGAGTTACAGTAAAATAACTATATTCATATTTGCTAATCAATTGACCAAACAGCATAATATTGAAAAAAAATTAATTTTACAACTCACGTAGATATTAAAGCGTTGTACCACCACCAACCTCCTGCGAACTGCCGCCGTTTACTACCACCCAGTTCACATTTTTTATTATTTTTTGTTTATTTAATTTAATTTTTTTAAAGAGTAAACGTACATTTATTAAGAAAAGTTAGAT